ATCGACCTAAAAGTGCAGAAACTCCAGTTTCCAAGAGTTTTACAAATAAATTATTTTCACTTCGGAGAAAAAATTTTGGAAAAAGACCTAGAAATAATTATGTATTAGGGTTTTGTTCATAATTCGAAGCTGCAAAAAGTTTTTCAAACATTTTTGCAAAGCGGTTAAGGAGGCGAGTGTCAATCAAATTTATCTTATAATTTTTCACAGAAAATAGTTGTCAGTATTTTTAGTAAAATTAAAAAATAATGGATTTTTGCGAAGAAAGAATTTTCTTAAAGGAAAGTTTGTGAAAACTGGAATGACCTGAAAATTTAAAGGAACTTTAGAAATCTTCAGAGCGATGAGGGCTGCGAATTTTCCCAATAAACTTTTGCTCTCTGGTCGTTTTTTTAAGATAGTCCTAATTACTTTCGGTAAAAAACTGAATAAAATTATTGGGTTTCAATGCCAAATTCGAAGCTGAAAAGGCTTTTCTAAATATCCCTGCTAACCGATGAATGGGGCTAATTTTCTAGCAAAATTAATTTTGTAATTTTTGACTGAAAACAATCCATTATTGTCAAAAAACAAGAAAATAATCGGAAAATAATGCTTGTTTACATTTTCTATTAAACACTTTTAGCTTTGTGATCGGTTTTGGCGGTAACCTTAAAGGTTTTCGGGAAAAATGTTAGGAATTTATTTTCATTTTTGTTCCGAATTCGACACGAAAAAAGTTGTTGTAAATTTTTTACAAAGCCATAAATTTATCTTGAAATTTTTCGAGAAAGAGTCCTCCAGAACGTCAGTATTGTTAAGTGAAACTACAAAGTAGAGCGTTTTTCGAGTAGAAAGTAAAGCAAAAAAAATCCAGTCAGAACTAAAAAACCACATTTTTTAACAAATTCTACAGTGTTCAGAGGAAAGGCGGTGACGAGATTTCAAAATAATCTGTTATAAACTTTCGCCTATTCTGTTCGTTTTTTGATAGAAAATTGTTCGATGTCTATTCCAAATTCGAAGGTAAAAACAGATTTCAAAACTTTTTGCAAAGCGACAAAGGATTCGAAATTTATTTCATAACTTTTCGCGGAAAATATCTTGAAATTGTCAGCATGTTAGAAAATTGTAAACAATCATCAAATCATCAATCAAATCGCAAACAAAATTTCCAATCCAATGCATATCTTGAATATGTGGGCCATTTATATATTATCTCATTAATTCATCTTTTAAAAATAGGCTTTTAGATGGGTCATTTGCAAACTAACCTCAGCTGATGAGTACTAAAGTCTCGAAACCGATTCTGGGAGTTCTTGCTTTCCACATAGGGAAAACTCTGTACTCGTAGCAAACAAATCCACTTTTTGAGGTCAACTGTTTATGAAAAATATTGTTCAGTTCGTAGCTGTGGTGGTATCACGTTGAATGAAAATAATGATAAATGAAAGTCTTATCCCATTTTCTTCGAATCCAATGGTTTAAAATAGCCAGATTCAACTAATGATACACATGACGCAATGCTAATGCTATCCTACTGAATAACAAATATTTCAATGAATTCCTCCTCGATGGTAAAACTACTGGCAACATGCTCATTACTGATGATGATGGTTATGTGAAGCAGCAAAACAACCCCGCCAATGGTATTGACAACAATAATTGACAAAAGGTGAGCTCGTGCCGCATTCCAATGGTCGTCCGCGGCATGTCGTGTGGGTGATCACGTGCTGGCCGTGTCACCAAGCGGCCTCCAGAGCCATTGTTTGAAATTCCAGGCCAGAATGGCCCTAATTATCTTGAGAACGCGTGGAGATAGATATCGGCCACAACACCGAGCAAAATGCTTCCTTAAACGTGATGATAACGAATGAAAAACTGTTATGTTTACTTGTATCGCATTGTTCAGATCTAGGAAAACATCTTTACAATACAATTTAGACACTTCTTTTGTGGTCTCGTGCTTGAAACGGACGAACAACGTGCAACTATGTTGGTCTGTTGCGGTGGTACGATTTCGAACATGCGAACTCAATGGTGTGGCGATAGGTCGTAAGTGAAATTCACTGACTTTATTCTGCTCAAATCAACAATCAACGTATTTAAACGTTTCTATAACTCTAATTCGATTTCCACTACTGTCTAAAGGAACAACTTAAAAACTGAGCGCGTAAATATACACCTCAAATTCTTCGCTTATTTCCCTTTGTGCCATTTTGCGAATCAATCAATTCTAATGCATTTGAGAAGCTTCAATATTCTGCCGCGCTTCATATTAAAATAGCGTTTAGGTTTAGTTATTCTACTATATAAAATGTTGGACGTATTAGTAAGAATCATGATACAAACATTTAAGTTCAATAGAAGTACGTCTACTAACGTGATGGAGGTACCTACAGCTAAGTAAAATCTAAAGTACTGGTACTGACATTCAATTTATGTTTTTCCATTTGATAGTGGTAGTATCAAACCAGGTGAACCAGGTTAAACTCTTGGCATAGCTAATCCGACACCAAGAGTAAAAATAGTCAACATTTTTGAAACAAATACGGTAATAGTAAACTATTATTTCCCTTGGTTCTCGAGAACTTACACATTTAATGAACAAATTAGCAATTTTACTTATACTCATACAGACTGAATTTGTCGTTGAATACGAAACGGAATAAACCTCTGGTCATTCTGAAAGACATTTAAACATGTTATTAAACCTTATCCTAAAATAGCAAAATTCTAGGACTAAAAAACCCGCATGTGACCTTACGGATCAATAAAAAATCTTTCAATTGAAGCAGTACTTTGCAATAATAAATCAGATTGGTACTCTGATCTAGAGTTAGGAATTAGTACAATAAAAGCTTTCCAACAAAGTTATTCTACATTCCCATAGACAAAAGTGTCCCGCCCCTAATACACAACTCTTAGTTGATTGCTTGGTAAAAATGTAAAGTTTCCCATATTGAGTTAAAAGTATCAGACTTCTCTTTGACATTTCTGTAAAATTAGTCCAATCTGTGTTTCCTAATTAAGGCAAATTATCATATTCTGCATTGCATCGAAGTTCACTTCTAAAACAAAACTATTAAAATGAAAAATTGCTGTGGAAATATAGCTTGAATCTGTGTCTCCACCTTGACAGATAACCGCTAATAAATAATACGAAACGAGTTTTATAACGAACTTCCAGATAATTATAGAGGTTATTTGTTACATATACCAACCAAACAACCTAAAGCAGGATTATGCGAGTGAAAAAAGGAGAACAAAAACGGGTGAAATCTAGTAGACTGAAATCTACTTAATGAACATCTAGCACAGATGGTTGCACACAATTTTTAGACCAGATTCTTTAAGTTATTTAACAGATAATTAATGAGGATGCAGGAAATGTTACTTCTGATGGTTTAGACGGCTGTTATTCTGAATCACAGCTAGATTTATTTAATTGGGAAAGCGATATAACCAGAAGTTCTTTTATATGAAACATCGTGATAGGTTTGTTGTGCAAAATAGTTTGAGCGGATACGACCTGAGCACACTCGTTTTAGGACAAGCTGTTGGAGGTCTAAAAGCAAATGAAACAAATACATCTCTTAAGATTGCAAGCACATTTGCGTCTAGGGTTTGGAGGTAGACAAATGCTGTTTTTAAATAAATGTCGCATGGTTGATAAAGTGCATTGAAGGAAAATATTGCCCGGCATTTCCATCTTTAATAAAGGCCATTAGCCAATGCGGATGCCTTTCCATTTCTATCTAAAGTTTAATTTACAACTCGCCTGCGCTAAGCCACAAAGTAAAACATATATACAACAAGTTGTCGGTATATTTCCGGCTCCAGCAAATATAAATAACAAACGAGATGAAATCCCGTAGTCCATTACGTGGGGTCACACCCAGATCAGCAGGAAGAAAGCGGACTGTTCTGCTGCCAGCATACACCTGCACCTGCCCATACTTTTTCGTATGCTCCATTCGCCTTTTTCATGACGGTTTTGCGATCTTCTACCGAAGCAACAGTGGGATATTCATATTATAAACCGTCTTATAAGGCAAGCGGCTGTGTACAGCTAAATTGCCTTAATAATTGTGTATCTTTTTTATTCGATTAAAATAGCTTCAAAGTCTGGCGAAAGTTCAGTCTAAGGTGTAGTCATCGAAATGTTTAATCAATTATTTGCTAAATTAGATTCTATCTCGCGCTTGCTTTTCAACACTAATACTACAGAAAAAGTTCCTTTGTTATTAATGGGTCTGTTTGCATTATCTTCAGCATTTGCGTTTAAGTAACATAAAAACAACAAATATATAAAAATAACAGATGGTATATACACGAAAAGAATTGGACATTTGAAAATAGGTTCGCGTATTTAGGCAAAAACGTTCTTTTGCCGTTGTTCATTTTAAAGATCTGCCAAATAATTTCTATGAGTGAGTAAATAGAGAAAAGGTGAACAGTTCAGAGATAGTGGTGATCGCATGTGACAATTAGTGCAAAAGCATTTTATTACCAGCAAATTTAAACCAACTGAAAGGAAATGCACTGGTTAATTGTATCATTTAAGATAATGTTATAAAAATATGATTAAAATCACAGAGCATTTGTTATTAGCATATCTGAAAGAGAAAGCTGACTGCAAAAAAATCATCATTGTTGATAAACGATTTTACTCAAAAACCATTTATAGGCACTTCTTTCATACTCACAGCAACAACTTACACAAAATGTATGAGTTCGAAAGCATTTTGGAAATTGCACAAAAAAATGCAACAAGTTTAAACTTTTCATTATCTTCTGGAAAAAAGTCAAAGTTTTGAGGGGAACTATATTTCAGGCTGTTCTGTTTGCATATTAAAGATGCTTTTTTATTTTGTCATAGATTTCTTAAAAAATATGCTCTTGGATTGGAACAGATGATACAAAAATTATTAAGTACCTCAATGAATCAGCCTCTCCAAAAAACAGTCAATTGATGTATTTAAAAATGGCAAAGTTGATAAACGCCCCGGTTTGCACGCTAAAACCTAAACAAATACACCAGTCACTAACTATCACAAATTTGGCATTATTTGTCATTCGAAAATTCATATTCGTGTTTTATGACCTAAGTAATAGATATCCTTTATTTAAGTCGAAATTTGCAGTTTTTCCTATGATATGCAATCAGATGAAGGGGAATGTGAGCTAGTAAGTAATTGAATATACAACAATAGTGAAATAATTGTCGGATTAGCTTAACATCAAATTTTTGAAGGAAACTCAAAAAGAGCAAATAATTCTTCGTTTGGAAGAATTGAAAAAGGAAGTACAAACTATTCTGGACACAGTCGACATGATCCCAAATCGCAATACGAAATTACCGGCAAATGCGTTATCGAAAAATGTTGAAGTTCAGTCAAATAACGCGCAAGTCGTATTATTTGAAAATGCCGAACTGTTGCTTAAGCCGGAAATGGAAGAGGTGATCTGTTCGGGTGATACTCGTTAAGATAACTAACATATACAATTGTTAATGGAGAATGCAATTATATATTCAGAATGGATATCTTATAAATTAAAGTATTTTGAACAAACCCGTACTTGACAATGCTTGCAAAACAATACCTACATAGCTTATCTAAAGCAGCCCATCTAGTTAGCATTTTTCTCGGATGACCATGTAGGTTGATGCGAATTTTATCCACAATTAGTCTACAACTGTCTTTACATCAGAGTCTGACGACATTAATTTTAATAAATAAAATAATAAAAAAAGAAAAATGCAATATTCAATAAATTCGCACAGCAGGCACGGTTGAGATTATAATTACTAGATGCGTACGACCTGAAACATTTCATACCCCGCGCATACTTTAATGCAAATCTTTCAGATGGTAAAGTTTGTTAAATTCCTACTAAATCATTACATATGTAGTTTCGAAGTGTACCGATTCGTGGAAAGAGAAACAGATCCTTATTTGGTCTGTTAATATTTGTGGAATTGGCTGGAAATAAATTATTTATCAGCTTGCTACCAATACTTGCAAAACAACACTGATATTTCACGGTTAGTTACTGATGATTTATTGCACATGTATACGGGCGAAAATTACTAATTGGACAAATTTATAAGTGGGAGTGTGTCTGAAGTAAGCTAATAATGCGAAACATTGCGCAAATGCAATTTCAAAGCTTCGTATCTTAATTAGAGGTAAAACTGGACTAGTTAGGAGGCAATCCACTACATAGTTTTGATAGATTTGTACACTGTAACAATCATTAATTTATAATTTTATTGCAACGTCTTACTAGTTTCAATTTTCAAAATCTATTGTTACATTACAAATCATCAAACTTATTTAATTTGCATACTTGTAATTTAGTAATTACGTAAGCTCCACCTGATACATTAAGCGAAAAGATAGAAGTTTTACAGTGTAAACATTTCTGAATACAATCAAAACATGGGCCATGGATATAACTGGGAAATTTGTAGATAAATTTAAAGTAAATTTTGAAGTCATAAACATTTGTCTACTAACAGAAGCACATTAAATTCAATACATTTTTGCGTTCATATGCGTTCCTGTGCAGTTAAAAAAATTGCGAAAAACAATTAATTATTGCTATAAACGTAGTAATGGAAACATGGATATAGATACATTTGTACTCAATATTTTGTAAGCAAGTATATTTTCTGGCGCCATTAATACATGAAAAACTTTAAGTTATATTTACAGTGAGTACAAAGAACACAATAATTTCCCACGACTTTTTGCAGATAGTTTAATAATTTTCTATAAAATAAAAAGCCTTTAAAGGTAAACCAGGCAGCCTCGACTTGAATGTCGCAATTCTCTAATAATCATATAAATGTTTTGAATTAATTCAAAAGGTAATGCCACATTTTCATAAATTATGATTTATCACGGATCGATGCAAATGCTATAACAATTAGATCAATTAGAAATGCAATCAGTTTTTGGATTTTTTCTTTAGTAATCTGACCACAATAATACAGGCATACGCTGTAGTATAATAATTATGAGACGCACAAACACGGAATAACAATAATAATTGATTTTAATCATATATTTTATTGAATAGGACAATGCAATATAGTTCTTATGGGTTTGTTGCAAAAAGTATGCAATTTCTAATCGAAAGAACAATGTTTTTTATTTGCTGTATGACAAACTAGAGTAACTTGGCTTTTTTTCCTATCATAAATTGCAAGCAACTCAAGCTCTTGTGGTTATTGGCAAGTCGGAAAGAATGGAAACTCAATTCATTATTCTAAATGGTGATTTGTTTCTGCTACTCGTCATCACAATCGTATCAATAGCATAACAGTTTTGAAAATGTTATTGAATATTAATGAAAAAAAAAACATCAAAGTCGTGCTAAGGTGTTTTTCGGAAACGTATCGAAGGCCAAAAATGTAGCTCACAAACTGCAAAGTTTTAGGCTTTTAAAATCGGTAAAGAGAGCTTTTTCCTATGTTTTAGGATGACCCAATCAGCCAATCGTAGTCGGTTGTGTATTATTATACCAGCTTTTATAACTGTTATTAGTTATAACACATATTTAAAAGTGAAAACGTATTAAATTTACCGAATGTTGATCGACTCAATGGGCATAATGCCAATTAATCAAGTTATTGTAGCTGATTCAATGTCAGTATACACTAATTTATGGGTTTTATCAGTTTACTTTGTTGCGATAAGTGGTAAAACTAACAAGCTTTATACGGATAACTAGTACGCACAATTATTCATTAATTCATATTTTAAATTAATTGCAGACAACTAGAGGTTTGAATGTTGACATTAATGTTAAATAGTTGCAACAAGGTTGTTCGAACTCGGATAATATTTTACCAAATTTAATCCGAAGGGGGCACCCATTAGTTTCTTCTGCTCAAAGATGTGTCCGAGAACTGATGACCCATAATATAGCACTCAATTTGTCATTTTTGTAGGCCGCAGAAGCACAAATTTGAAGCTATTTTCACAGTCAGCGGTTCATTGCATTTAAAATCAAAGTTTATCTTAGTAATACAGGTGAATAATGGCCAAAAACAAAACTTTAGTGGCAAATGTTTCAAAAATACCATCACATAATGCTTGCAGCAAGGTCAGTATTGGATGACAGTGAAAAATTCAACAGAAAACGAAAAACAAATTCCCAACTATACAGTTTGTATAAGTTGCACACAAATGCAGACTATTAAGACCATTGTTCATCCACGTTTCATTAAGCACTTCTAAGTTTGGTCATGTATATTGAAAACTGTTAGCAAACTGTTGCGATCAACATTGAGGAAATTCATCCTAGCAAAACTTATAATACTGACAAGATATCCGCTGAGAATCAAGCCTTAGTTACACCTAACGGACACATTACGGTCATCGATTGAAAAAAGCAAGATAAAAGTGAATTTATTATGTCCGATTCCGCAGTTTGAACAGAAAAACCCACCGGATAAGTTATGAGCGTAATAAAGAGAGTGTTTGCAGCGTCCCGAAGATAGTCCATCTGCCGACGAATAATTAGACTATCTTCACATGTCTCCTGATAATTGCCGCGCAGGTAGCAATTACTTGTCTTCTTGTCACTTGGCTTCTGGTATTACTGGCTTCGGGTGTAACTTACAGCCACTCTTCTCTATGCTCAACATTATCTTTGGATATTCTTGAAATTCTTCGCCTGCTACAAGACAGGTGAAATATTCGTATTCATGTACGGCACTAATATTAATCTTCGAGGTATATCCGGTGTTGGTTTAGTCGAATAAACGTTTCGGAATCTGTTGAATCTTTCCGTGCAGAGGATTTGTAATTGGCGTAATTCATTTGTAGGGGTTATATTTAGGTGTTGAGTTAGTGTTTAGCCAATTTATTAAATATTTTTATATGCAGGGTAAAAGGGTACTACGAGATTTTTTGGCTCAAAAGAAGACGATCGGATTGAATTTGTATTATGAAAAAATTCCGAATCCGAGACTGTTGATACTCAATGTTCTTCAAAACAATTAGGCTTTTTGAAATATCCTAAAACTGATTCTATTAATTTATACGAAACTCGCTGCGAATTTGTTCTTACAGAAAGCTCATAATTTTTTGAAGTAAGCGAGTTCATTCGTTTTAGGAAAGTGTTGAATTTTTGAGTCTCTTGGTACAAAAATTACCAGATTTTTTGATTTGGTGGATCAAAGTCAAACACTAACCCGTTCTTGACGTTTTTGTGCTTCTAGTAAAATCTCACAGCGTTCATAGGTTTTGCATAAAAAATAATTTCTGTATTTTTGTGGATATAGGGATATAGACTTCTGGTGCAGAGGTTGTTTAGAAATGTTACATGTTTTAAGTTCTTCTGTTCCTTCTTCTAGCCGTTCTCTATCCTTAGGATATAGGCCTCTCTCATGTTTTTCTAGTTTTCCTTCTTCTGTGCTACTTGGTCCCAGTTGAGTCCGGCTGTTCTTTTGATGTCATCATACCATTTTTGTTGTGGTCTGCCGGTGTTTCTTTTCTCCTCCCAAGGTCTCCATCTTGTTGGTTTTCCGCTCCAGTTGATTGTATTTCGATCAACATATCCGGCCCATTTCCATTTAAGATCATCTATTCGCCTCGCTATATCTTAGACCTTAGTTCTATTTCCTATCAACTCATTGGGTTTACGACCTTTAAGTATTATTCCTAATTCCTAGCATTCCTCTTTGGTGTATCTTTAGTTTATTTAGGATTTTCTTTGTTGAAATCCATGTTTCACATCCGTAGGTTGTTACTGGGGAATGCATTCCATGTAAATCATAGCTTTTAGTTTGAGGCGTAGGTTGGAGTTGAAGACGTGTCGTATCTTCCCGTATTCCGCCCTTCCTAGATGTAAGATGTAATATATGGTAAATTTCAAGTTCTTGATTTGTTTTTCCCAATGATATTTCTTAACCTACGTAGACACTTTCACAAAGTTCACTTCACTCAAGTTCACTCTACTTGTTGTCCTAGCACATTTATACTCTATATGTTTTTTAGAAGTGTTCTAGGCCTACTTTTCTTGCTTCTTGTTGGAATTCTATAAGCATGTGCTCTAAGTCTTCACCGTTTGGGACAAAAATGACAATGTCATCAGCAAATCTTAGGTTACTGAGTTCCTCTGCATTCCCAGAGTAGGCCTTTGAAAACATCTTCCAGCATCAGTGTAAACAGTTGTTAGTAGTTGTTAGTTAGTTAACAACAGTTAAAGTGTTGTTGTAACACATTGTTACACAATGTCCCCTTGTCTAACGTCTCTTTTAAGTGTCTAATTTCCTCAGTGTCTTCATGTAGCCTTACTTTCATTTTTGAATGGTCATTTAGTGTCTGTATAATGTTAATATTTCGCTGGTCTATTCCTGCATTTTTCATTGACCCGATAATTGCGCAAAATTCAACTGACCGATGTTGAATAAATGCGACCAATATTGGGAGGTTATATTCCGTTCAGTATCCTTACGGTGTGGAGCCTGCCTGCTTATAAGGTTGGTATCCGTGAAGTTTGTATTCGAGGCGGTTTGTTTCTATGATTCTCATAACCAGTTTGTAGGTTTGTGATA